AGAAAAGACACAAATCAAATTAACAATAACAAATACTAGTGCGATCAAATCAAGTTAAATTCAAATGGTGTAAATACAAATTACTACTCTTTAGTTCAAATACAAATTACAGTATAAACGAAGATACACATCACGGTCGATCAACAAAAATGCCTAGCTCGGAAATCGACCCTTCGATAAGTAATCCACTACAACTCTCCGACAACGATAATTAACCGATTACGTAAAAATAACCATCTACCTACATGACGTATATCTCTAGAAAAACTCCCGCTTGCACAACCTAGGGCGCGGCTTTTCAAATTACCCTCTAACCAAAAAAAAGGCAAGCAACAAAGCAACAAAGGAAAATAATTCTATTATTACGTACAAAAAAAAATATTTTTACGTATTACGGACGGGCGTGATTGTAGATACAAATTAAACCAATCAAACCAACGCTCCCTGCCACCAGATTTATTTAATTTTTATCAAACACTATGGTCGGGATCGACCGGGGAATCGAACCCGGAACCACGCTCTGCTACCAGTTTGTTACGGCCTACGGCTGCTCCCTTAAAGGATCCAATCTTCAGGGGCCCATGAGCTGAAGACTTCCCGAACAGACGTAGGTCGGGCCTTAATGTGGCCACGTGGAAATTCCTAATTACATTAAAATATATGGGGGAGCGTTATACTACGGCCAGTCGACCGGAAGGAATTTGGATGAAGCTTACTTACCTATCCAAGGCGACTGGACCCTCCAGAGTCGGTCAGGTCGCATGTGGTTGTGTAGTGCAAGGAAAGAATGGTGATGTGGTGTGTAGCTGGGTGTGACTGATGGTGATTGAACCTAGACCTTGGCCGTCGGCAGCAGCCCGAGCGTCGACACCGCTCCAACTTGAGGGCGCCTTTCGAGGTTGTCCACAGTCACTTTCTTCTTTCGTCACGATGACAGTCACTTAACTCTATCGTATGATTTACTAACTTACAGAAGCCACTAACTATCGCTGTGTATAATGGTTACCGCACAAACGCACACGGAGTTTAAAGGGTCAAAGGTCACTACCGTTTCGCGTAGCAATAATTAATTCTAGAATATCAGAGGCCGCACTATCTAATATTGCCGAATGCACTTATGCAGGTTTTGAGTCAGACACAATAAGTCCCGGGAAGCTCTCCAGTAAGAATGCGCGTCACAATGATAGACCGTATATTTACTGGCCGCGCCGAATTATTCCGAGTTCCCTAACAGAATACAGCGTGCCAATCGTTAGCACCGCTTATGGACGACTGCCCTTGGGCGTTTTACGCACGACCGAATGTCAAACCGGTATGACACTGAGCCGCACGCCCTCTCGCTTTCGTTCCTTGAAAGTGTTTGGCGCGAACAATTGTCATATCTACTTTTCTTGATAAGGTTTATGTATATGATATATAGTTATAAAGTATTACAGAAATATTTATAAAAGTGTATGTATTCTATGTATGTATATGTAGGTATATGTGTATATGTATGTCTGTATATATATATATTTGTTTATGTTTATAGGTATATATAATATTATTTTTAATATATGCTTGTCTATCTACTATTTATGCACACTTCTATATATTTAAATGAAAATTACTGTTTAGCGATAAGGCCACCTAATTGTACATTCGTTGATAAAATCAAGTTTGCTGTGTTGTGTAGCGTTTTTGTGTGCAATAAAGAGTATAAATAAATAATAAAATAAATATGGTGGTGAATAAAGTATATAACTATAGACATGAGGACTGGCAGCCACAATTGTTAGCTAAAAACTACAATATAAAACATATCTTTTATGTACATATTTGTAAATGCTTTGAAAGATATATATTAATTTAAGTGAAATAAAATTATGAGACTTTTACGATATATATTTTGCACGAGACTATTGAGCCCAGAAGACAATCATTTTCAAATGTATTTCCACTAGATGGGATGAACTGGTAAGACACACAAATAGTCGATGAATGCAGGTAGGTAAGGACCGTGAATAAAGGCCTCCAAAGCTTTGTGCCATTCTTTAAGGGAGGCCTCTATTCAACAGTGGACCTATGAAAGGCTGTAATGATGATGACGATGAAAATAATGGTGAAAAACGAACACAAAGTTCAACTTTTGGTTATTATGGACGCTGTGCCGTTTAAGCACTTACATTTATATTTGACTAGCTGTACCCGGCATGCGTTGCAATGCCTTTATTTTTGTCAGAAACCTACGCAGGCTCGTGTACAACAACTCATTAAAGTTTCAATGTTTTCGGATAAATTTAATGGGAATACATACGGAAAAACAAAAATGATTAATTTTTATATATAGAAGACGACTGTAGACTGATATCAAAAGGTTATCCCAGTAAAAAAGATCTAATACAACTCAATTCACATTGAACATTTAATTAACATCAAACTGTATAGTAAAAATAATTCTACTAAAAAAGTAGTTCGTACAAAGTTTTAATAAAATGTTTTCATAGTTGCTTTATCCTTAGTTGAATATTGATTGAACTTTCAGAAACTCAATAAAGGGCTTACCCAAACTTCGTACTTGAACTGTAAAAACTATTGAAAAAGTAAATGATATTGTAAGGCGCCACTATTAATGTCTTGTACATGGCAACACTAGTTACACTAGCGCCCTCTAGTGTCGAGTAGCAGAACTAGGAGAGTCGAGATCCTTCCAGAAATTTCGGGACCGATATGTACTCAAACATTCTAGATGTCACTACAGTGGAAGGTTCTGGAAACTGTCTGAGGCCCTATATAAAGCCGGTATAGACCACGACCAGGCAGTATTGAATTGGCAATACAAGAGAATACTTCGAAGCAAAATAACGGCGAACTGTGTTTTATTATTAGTGTGATTTTAGATTGTAATTAGTGTTGTGTAATTAAAGTGTCAATTTTGGTAATTCAATCGGCAGTTTTTAATTGTCTCGAACCCCAAGCTAGTAACAATTGGTGTCAGAAGTGGGATCAAATATGCCGATTATACCTAAAGACGACACGGAGGGTATCCGTACCCGAAGTCGACGCCAACAGGAGACGGACCAGAGACGATTTGGTAATGCAACGCCGCAAACGTCGGAGGGCCAGCTGCTAACCACGGAGGGCGGCCCGTCAGCAGCTCCTGCATCTGTAGCACCTGACTTAGGTGCTCTGATGATGATGCTGCAGGATCAGGCTCGCCGACAGGAGGAACAGGCCCGCCGACAGGAGGAACAGGCCCGCCGACAGGAGGAACAGGCCCGCCGACAGGAGGAACAGACCCGTCGGTTGGAAGAGCAGCTGCTGCGCGGTATGGAAGAGCAGATGCTCCTCAGCAAGGACCTTCACGCTACCCTCGGGAAAGAGATAAAGGAGGTGAAGTATAGGGTTGCTCAACATGACAACCGCCTGTCGGAAGCTGAAACCCGAATCGACCAAGTGAACAATCGGGTTGACAACGTGATGGTAGACATGAAGAAAACGCTGGATGACCTCAAAATTGGGGATGGAGTTACAGCTCCTGTGGTAGCTACTACACCGTCGCTACGTGTATTCAAAGTACCGCCGTTCGACGGGACTTCTTCCTGGTCGGCCTACAAAATCCAGTTCGAAGCTGTCATGAAAGCGAACGGCTGGAAAAAAAGTCAGGCCATGACTGCTCTCACCCTAGGCCTACGCGACCAGGCCTTAACTGTTCTGGAAGCTCTCGGTAAGGAAGTGACTTACGAGCAGCTCCTTGAGGCATTGGAGTCGAGATATGGCGATGCTCACCTGGAACACGTCTTTCGTGCGCAGCTCAAAGATCGCGTGCAACGCAGTAATGAAAACTTGAGGTGGAGAAGCTGGTTCGAAAAGCGTACCAGTCTGTACCTGCGCTCATTGTAGGGAACCTGGTGCAGACATTCATCAAAGGCATCCGCGACCTTAAAGTCAGAGCTGCTGTGAGGTTCGGGCACCACGAGACGCTTAAGGACTCCTTGGCCCATGCACTGGAGGTGGAAGCCGTGCGGCAGGATCATCGTTCCCACCGCGTCAGGGAGGTTGCAGCAGCTACAGTTCAGGACCGCATTAAGGGCTACAGCCCTAGGTGCTACGGCTGTGGGGAAAGGGGCCATCTTCGATCCAGCTGCCCTAAACGAACTGTAGAAAGAGAAGGTGATCGATATTGAGAGGGTAGTGTGGCTGACAGCACCGCCCAGCAGCAGCAGGGAAACTGGCGGGTGCTGGCTGATGTTAAAAGAGCCCCAAGGATTTCGATCTCACAAACCCGTGATGGAAACAGCCTGATCATCAGGGGCGAGGTCAACGGAAAGCCGTGTAAACTGACCATAGACACTGGAGTCTCTCGCACGGTTGTCAGTTCCCAACTTATAAATCAGTTTCTTGGGGACTCCGCATACAACCGCGAACGCATTAATTTGGTGACAGCCACTGGTCAGCGCATACCCGTCCGTGGAAAGAAAGAGATAGAGTTGAAGCTAGGCAAAATGATCTACCTGCATAATGTCATCGTGGCTGATATAATGGACGACTGCATCCTGGGCCTAGACTTTATGAGGAAGAATTGTTGTGAGATCGACGTTAAGCAAGGTGTTTTGAAATGTGGACAAGAGGAACTTTTCGTGAAATGGGCGTTACCAGGGAATGTGTACAGCCTTAAGAAGATTGTTCTTCCGCCGAGATCGGAAACGATTGTGCCGGTTAGTCTTCCTCGGAGTCCTGGGCAAGCTCATCGTTGCGTACTCGTGGAAAGGGTAGACAATGACCTTCCATGGAAAGTGGCTCGAACCTTGGTCAGAACCACCGACATCTAAGGAGTACGTGTGTTGAACCTTTGTGATCAGGAACAGATTATAGAAAAAGGCACATTGGTTGGTACTGGTGAGGAAGTGGATTGGTTACGTCGGTGCGAATATCTATCGACTGGGACCCCCAGCAAAGATGGACAAACGAGAGTGACCACACTTTTAGAAGACTGTCGCAGCGTTCTCTCCCCGAATGAAATGGTCAAGGCGAAGAAGTTGTTACTCAAGTACGCCAATGTTTTCTCGTCAAACGAAGCTGACATAGGAAAGACTGGCTTAGTTCAACACAAAATAAACACAGGACAAGAATTGCCTATTCGTCAGCGGCCAAGAAGATTGCCTGTAACACGTGAAAAGGAAGTGGAAACCATGATTGAGGGAATGGTGAAGGATGGTGTTATTGAACCTTCATCTAGTCCATGGTGTTCACCTGTGGTGCTGGTAAAGAAGAAGGACGGCAGCATGCGGTTTTGTGTTGACTACCGCCGCCTGAACGACATTACAAAGAAGGACAGCTATCCCTTGCCAAGAATTGATGACACGCTGGACATGCTTACAGGCGTAAAGTGGTTTAGTACGCTGGATCTGAAAAGTGGCTACTGGCAGGTTGAAATTGACCCTAAGGACAAGGAGAAAACTGCATTCTCCACAGGAAAGGGTCTGTGGCAATTTAAAGTCATGCCGTTTGGATTGTGCAATGCTCCAGCAACGTTTGAAAGGTTGATGGAGCTTGTACTTACCGGGCTAATTGGAGATGCCTGTCTGGTCTATTTGGATGACATCATCATCGTAGGCCGTACGTTTGAGGAACATCTTCAAAACCTGGAATGCGTGCTCATGAAGATCCCGAGTGTCAACCTCAAGTTCAGTCCAAAGAAGTGCTCACTATTCAAACGGCAAGTTAGTTTTTTGGGGTATGTAGTGTCGGAAGAAGGTATCCGCACGGATTCAGAGAAAATTGCTGCTGTCAAGGAGTGGCCGGTCCCAAAAGACAAGACACAGGTTAGAGCATTTTTGGGTTTGTGCTCTTATTATCGGCGATTTGTGAAGAACTTTGCAGATATAGCCAAACCTCTGCACAAGCTAACCGAGGAGAAGCGACAATTCTGCTGGGATGAAAGTTGCGATATTGCATTCCAGGAGCTCAATAACCATCTGTGCAAACCACCTATTTTGGGGTACCCTGATGCGGGCAAGGAATTCATAGTTGACACAGACGCAAGTGATATAGGACTTGGCGATGTGTTGTCTCAACGGAATGGTGATCAAGAGATTGTGATAGCGTACTTCAGCAAGTCGTTGTCAAAGCCGGAAAGGAACTATTGTGTCACAAGACGGGAATTGCTTGCTGTGGTAAAGTCCTTGCAGCATTTTAGCAAATATCTTCTAGGGCGGAAATTCTACTTACGAACTGACCATGCTGCACTCAAATGGCTATTGCAGTTCAAAAATCCGGAAGGACAATTTGCGAGATGGATTGAACTACTGCAGGAATACGACTTTGTGATCGAATATCGCAGCAGGAAATCTCATGGCAATGCAGATGCATTGTCAAGAAGACCTTGCCCTGAAGATTGCAAGCATTGTACTAGGCAAGAGGGTAAGGAAGTGGTGAAGGTTTTGGCAACGCATCTGCAATTCCCCTGGTGTTGCGGTTGTTCATGGGCGGCGGTAGTCACTTACCATCAGCAGAGCCGCATGCTCGTTTGCCCCCTATTCTATAAAAAAAAAGTGGTATCTGTGAGAATGCTCAGGACAGACCAGCTCAGCAATGAGTGGAAGGACAGCCTACAACATGCACAGCAGGAAGATTCGGACATTAAGCCGATTCTGGAATGGATGAAGGCCAGTGCTCCTAAGCCCAAGTGGAGCGACGTCTCAGCAATGAGTTCGACCACGAAAAGCTATTGGGTCCAATGGGACAGCTTGCTGATTCAGGATGGAGTCCTGTGCCTTAAATGGGAAAATGGTCGGAGAGACAGGTGTCATTTGCAAGTGGTTGTCCCTAAGGCTAAAGTGCCGAATATTCTACAGCTGTACCATAGTGGTTATTCAGGAGGCCACCTGGGGGTTAAACGAACTCTCCTGAAGATCCGAGAACGGTTTTACTGGGTCCACTGTCGTGACGATGTCGAGGACTGGTGCCGCAAATGTACAAGTTGTGCGGCTGTAAAGAGACCTCAAATTCGTAGTAGAGGCGCATTGAAATTGTACAATATTGGTACACCATGGGAGAGGATAGCAATTGACGTTGCGGGGCCGTTTCCAGAAACTGAAAGTGGTAACGAGTATTTCATGGTTGTGATGGATTACTTCACTAAGTGGCCAGAAGTCTTCGCCATTCCAAATCAAGAAGCTTCAACCGTTGCAGATAAACTAGTTCATGAAGTCTACTGTCGTTTTGGAGATTCACAGCGATCAAGGAAGGAATTTTGAGTCTCAAATATTCCAGGAAACTTGCCGAGTTATGGGTACACAGAAAACACGAACAACTTCTTACCACCCACAATCTGATGGAATGGTAGAAAGATTTTATCAGACATTTGAAAGGTACCTAGCAAAAATTGTGGAAAAACGGCAACGAGACTGGGACAGGCACATACAACCGTTTTTGTTGTCATATCGAAGCGCTGTTCACGAAAGTACATCAGTGACACCAGCTTTTGTAAACTTTGGGAGAGAATTGCGGCTGCCTGCAGACCTGATCACCGGAATACCACCTGATACCCCACGCAGTATAACCGATTATGCAAATGACTTGCGGAACAAAATGAATGACATATATGAGCACGTCAGACAGACGGGCCAGCAAACGTCTGAGAAGATGAAAACACGGTATGACCGCAAAATGAACAACAAGGGGTTTGATGAAGGTTCACTAGTGTGGTTACACAATCCAGTTTGCAGCAAAGGCAAATCTCCTAAGCTTCAAGCTAAATGGGACGGACCGTACCGCATTGTGACAAGGATCAATGACGTAACCTACCGGATACAGAAAGGTGTCAGAGGTACTCCTAAGATTGTCCATGTGGATCGACTGGCGCGTTATTATGGGGCCAATAATGCTCGGGACGAGCATGTCTTAGGAGGGGGCAGTGTTACGCGCCACTATTAATGTCTTGTACATGGCAACACTAGTTACACTAGCGCCCTCTAGTGTCGAGTAAAAGAAAGTGTTGCGCGCCACTATTAATGTCTTGTACATGGCAACACTAGTTACACAAGCGGCCTCTAGTGTCGAGTAGCAGAACTAGGAGAGACGAGATCCTTCCAGAAATTTCGGGACCGATATGTACTCGAACATTCTAGATGTCGCTACAGTGGAAGGTTCTGAAAACTGTCTGAGGCCCTATATAGAGCCGGTATAGACCACGACCAGGGCCGTATTGAATTGGCGATACAAGAGAATACTTCGAAGCGAAATAACGGCGAACTGTGTTTTATTATTAGTGTGATTTTAGATTGTAATTAGTGTTGTGTAATTAAAGTGTCAATTTTGGTAATTCAATCGGCAGTTTTTAATTGTCTCGAACCCCAAGCTCGTAACAATATTTTTTATTCGAGACCTTTGTATGCAGTTAAAATTACACTGTGAACTGCTATGGATACATCAAGACTGTTTAAGCTACTTTCATAGAGCATTATATTTCTATGGAGCATTGTTGGGAGGATCTAATTATAGAGCTGTATACTACGTGCAATATACAATATCTAACCAAGGGATACACTCAGAAATCTACTTAAACAAATTACTAAACTAACAAAAAACAAAGACCTAATAACCTAAAACTAACATAAAACAAAGACCTAACAGCTTTTAGATTTTTTGTAATGCGTTTGATAAAATGAGTGACGTCGATGTCTTTAATACACATTTTAAATTTAAACTTTATTATTCATTTTTTAGTAGATGTAACAACTATTCATAACAAGGGTCGCTGTAAAATTACAAAGTCGCCTTTGCATAGATTCACGACGCATGTAAAAAGCATTTAACTGAAAAAGGTATGAATCAGATGAATATTTATAAAATGAGATTTTATAAATAATACGGAGTTGGGACAAAAACATTGTCGGTTTGTGACTATCTTGCCGGACCTTCTCACAAGATCTCCCGTAGTAGAGTTGTTGAATTGATGGCGAGGCTTATTTTACTCTCAAAAAGTGCTTTGAAAGGACCTTCTTAGAAATAAAATATTTTGAGGCTTCATATCGTTACTATAAAACTATTTTTCATATGTCTAATATCACTGTGCCAACGTTTTGTAATCAAAACTTGCTTGCGTCCACTTTGTTAACATTGAATCTAATGATATAAGGTTCCAAATTTTAAATATTTTTTGTCACATTTTAATTCTGTCATAATTTCGACCGACTCTTTGGAAGCAGAATACGTCATTATGGCTCTTAACTTAATGGAAATATTTAAATAGGTAAGAATGTGTAAGCACGATCTAAACTACGTTACACCCTTCACCCCTACAGCTGGCAGAAAGCAACAGGCATTCAGAACGTATTATGTGTAAATAAATTACAAGCAAATATTTTTTTGATATCAATATTATTTTACAAAAGCAAAATATTATGATGGAATATTTTTTTTCTAAAAGAAATGAGTTACCTACATGTGTATTCGGCTGAAATAACGAAAAACGTTAAACCCACAGGCCCTAACGCGTGTTGTAAAATACTTATATGCACAATTAGTTAGTCTTTGCCATAAAAAGGGTACTCTGTGTCTTTATACGCGCCCTACACTGCCGAACAGATTTTTTTTGCGGTGTCTGTTCTAGTATGAAGTATATATTACCTCAATGGGGAAAGTTAACGATGCAGCTTATATAAGCCACCTAAATCCGGGCACAGGTCTCCTCTCATAATTGAAAGGGGTTTAGTGTATGGAAATGTGTGAAAATTAATTTTGTTCAATCTGTATTATTCGTGTAAATATAAGAAATCATTATTTTCTTTGTAATTCTTTGAATTTGAGCTAAGTTGCAATTCGCAATATATCTATGGCTAGCAGCTCTAAACTTTATCACTTAGTTTGCACGTAGCAGTAAACTCGTTATATTAACTATTATTGATGGTTAGGACACTTGTTCAAAAGTTTGTCATACTAAAAATAGTTTTCATTGAGCAACTGTGTACTTGCACCATTACTTTTCTTAATTAAACATTTGATTTGGACTGTAAAACGTTTTAACCTTCAAACTATAACTTACAAGAGCCTAATACAAATAAATATATATATTTAATAACAATATTAGGCTATGATGCAATGATGTAGGCAGTCGTGTAGTAGCGTAAGAAAATACAGTATTATGATCCGTGGGTACCGTAGAACGCGGTAGAGGGAAATTCGAACACAAAGAAAGGAAGAACGATATATATACAAGACTAAAACTGCATAAAATACAATCTAAAATAGCGACTGTAGTTTTAACAGTCCTTATTTGGTGTCCTACCTTACTCATCATGGAATTCTAGAGTGACCGAAATGACGTTGATTATGTGCTCTTTCTTCAATATTGTTATGTATCTTCATCTTTATCTTATCTTTATGTTGCCCATGGTCACTGGAAGACATCACCATGTACAGATGAAATTGACACTTCGAGAAAAAGTGAGCATATCCTGTGTTAATATTTGCTTGTTAAAGTCCCTGCTATACACGGACCTCTCCGTTTAGGGAGTATTTGATTTAATCGACACGCTTACCAGTTGGATTAACGATCGCCGTACTAGACTACTCGCATCTTCGACGTTTCTGCTTACCGATGTTCATAGTATTTTACGTCCGGCGTAAACGAGACGGTACACAGACATCTCTCGGTAGTCACAAGATCTTTCTGGAATTTGCTATAGCCGCCACTTACGAAACCCGCAGCACGAAAAGAGACTATGGGTTCTTTTACTCCACCACCACTCGACATATTATTTTTTTTAATAGTACCTACTAATTTTTCTTATATTATAGTAAACTTTTTGAAGTGAAAACTTCTTTAGAATCGTTGTAATTTGAAACTCGATAAAACTAAAAAGTGACACTAAAAAGAGACAAACATATACATCTACAGGATTTAGCCTGCGGGAGAATGAGATAGAATACAATGTGCAGTGTTTATTATAAATTAATTTATATTTTTTTATAGAATAGGGTGACAAACGAACATATAGTCCACTTGATGGTAAGTGGTTGCTGTGGCCCATAAACATCTACATCTAGCCTCGTTTGCGAATCAAAATGCAGATGCGTTGTCACCCGTGAGGACTAAGATGGAATACCTCTTTTCCAGTAAAAACGGTCTCCGTTTCTCCACACTCACCATACGAAACACATCAGTGTTAAGCTGCTATTTTACGTTGGTATTCTGTGAGAGCATGGTCCTTTCCCGGTCGAGCCGAACCATTCGTGCTACAACTATACTACTAATAAAGCTGCAGCATGGCTCCACCAAGTATAAAAGGAACATGATATTTGTAGGGTTTCTATTTTACATGTTGTACCCTACCAATATCCTACTCCTGAATTTTTGCATTCATCTCATTCTCTCGAAGTTTAGTATTTTAAAATTTAATAAATTTATTGCTAATATTTTAAATTTAATTCATATACATTTTTAAAACAATATATCAATCAAAATCTGTCCTATCCAAACATCAAAACTCGAAGTCTATTCATCAAATCGGCGCCCACAGTGGTCTGCAATTTATCAATTCGGCACGTTGCTTCTAAAACACAAATTGTTTTCATCATCATCATCATTACAGCCCTTCACAAGTCCACTGCTGAACATAGGCCTCCCCCAAAGAATGCCACAAAGCACGGTCCTGAGCCACCTGCATCCATCGACTTCCTGCATATCTTACCAGGTCGTCACTCCATCTAAAGTGGGGACGCCCTACACTTCGCCTGCCGGTACGAGGCTGCCACTCGAGAACCTTTCTTCCCCATCGGTTGTCGGTTCTTCGAGCTATATGGCCGGCCCATTGCCACTTCAGCTTACTAATCCGTTGGGCTATGTCGGTCACTCTAGTTCTACTGCGGATATCCTCATTTCTGAGTTTATCTCGCAGAGAAACTCCGAGCATAGCCCTCTCCATAGCTCGCTGAGCGACCTTGAGCTTCCTCATCCGGCCAGCAGTGAAGGACCACGTCTCAGTTCCGTATGTCATCCACGCACTATAACACGCACTGGGTGTACAGTCTCGTTTTCAAGTTTTGAGGTATACCTGACGAGAAGATGTGCCGTAATTTCCCGAACGCTGCCCAACCGAGTTGAATCCGTCGATTGACCTCTCGGTCGAAGTTGGACTTACCTAGTCGGACTATTTGTCCCAGGTAAACATACTCGTCAACAACTTCGAGCTTAGTGCTCCCAACAACTACCGGCATAGGTGTGACATGGACTTTAAACATGATCTTTGTTTTG